GAACTCGGCAGTTAGCCATCTGGAATACGGGCCAATATGGACAAGGGAGGCAAGTAGGTATTGATCTCGCAAAATAGGTACAATGTTGCATTTTTCTGTCAATTCCTCCACATTGATGGATTTCTCCAGAATAAAATCCCTAGTAGCATGAACATTCCAGTCAGAAATCAAATCTGGAGACAGTAAAATAGGATGATATTTCTTCTTGGGTTGTTTCATCTTTGAGCCAGAGCGGGCAGTAGCAGCTGCTGGAGCAGGGGCCGGACTAGGTACTGGGCCTGAAACTGATCTGGACCTTGTCATTCTGGGTGGCAATGTGGACCCTCTTTTTGATTGCTTGGACCCAGACAAGTAGACAACGTCCTCCAATGCTCCAATTTTTATTTTCTCGGCTGTACCTGAAACAGTAATTTTTTCTTTCCCTTTTCAGGAAGATTTGCCCACGGGCACAGAGGTAATGGGAACAGAATCATGTGAGGTGGGCACAGGGATGGGAACCTCTACAGATTTCGAGACTGGAATAGTTATGGGAATAGAAAATGCAGCACACGCCATGGGAGACACATATTGGTTAATATTTCGAATGGTGAAGGGAGATGACACAACATGCATTAAATCAGATAATGGCACAAGATTTTCAGGTAATTTATGTGAGGAAGAATCATACGGATCACCTTGTAAAGGAATGGAAGGGGCACACAAATCACTCGAGGTAGACACAAACTGATTTGGCATAGAGATATTGAAAAACTTTCTAGAAGCAAAAACTGATTCATCTAAAGGTGAAGATACTACCATGGTTTCCGGGGATGAGACCTTCAACTCAGATTGTGGCGGAGGCGGTTTGGTTGATTCGGCCGGAAAAGTCCACGGCTCCACAGATATGAACTTAGCTAGAGCTTGGATCTGTTTGATTTCCCTGTCCGAGAGTCCTTCAAGAAGGCCTGCATGTTGCTTGATCGTTGCGAGAACTCGATCCGTATCATCAGATGTAAGCGGAGATTCATCGTTGATGATGTGTCGAAAAAGCTCCAATCTTTCGGATTTGGTTGTGAAAATGGCGAAAGGATTGTCGTCTTCCATTGTTGAAGGTTCAATGTTTGAGAGTGGTAAAGATGAAGATGAATGGTGTGGGTTTGGCGTGTAAGAGCAAGAAAGTCAAGAAGGCTTTTTAATTAATGAGCTTCTTAAAAGTTGTGATGGATGGGATGAGTGATGTGACTAGTTTGTAGGGGTAGTAGTAGAGTCATACTAGGAGAGAGTGATGGAAGAAGTTTGAAATTAATATTTCAATACATATTATGTAATGGTGGAATTAATATATAGATAAATAAGGTAGCCGAGCCGGTTAAGGAAATAAACAGGTATATGGGCGAGAAGAATTAAAACTAAGTTGGAGAGATTTTAGAATTTTCCTGCAACAAATAACCAACAACTACGTTAAAGAAAATTAATTAGAGATTATTTGTTGTACCTGGTGTTGATGATTAAGCTGTAGGATTGCAAACACCAAGAGCAGCTCTAAGCAGTTCAAATCTCAATTTGTCTAACGGCTTGGTGAATAGATCTGCAAGATTTTTATCTGTTGGAGTATATTCCAAGATAATTTCTTTCTCTTCGACTAGCTCACGAATGAAGTGGTGTCGAATGGCTATGTGTTTCGTCCGGGAATGCTGGGCTGGATTTTTTGAGATGTTGATTGCGCTGGTGTTGTCACAGAACAATGTCATACTTTGTTGTTCTATACCATAGTCAGTTAACATCTGACGCATCCAGAGTAATTGTGTACAACAACTGCCTGCCGCTATATACTCAGCTTCAGCTGTGCTGAGTGAAATCGAGTTCTGCTTTTTACTTAGCCAGGCGACTAGATTTTTTCCGATAAAGAAACATCCGCCTGATGTACTTTTTCTGTTGTCAGCATTTCCTGCCCAGTCAGCATCACTATATCCTGCAAGATTCAGATTAGTATCGTTCGAGTACCAAATACCATAATTTATCGTACCTTTAACGTATTTTATAATATGTTTTACCGCCTTTAGGTGTGACTCTTTTGGATCGGCTTGATAGCGTGCACACATACCAACACTTACCATAATATCTGGTCGACTGGCTGTTAAGTACAGTAGGCTGCCTATCATACTTCTGTACATAATAGAGTCTACAGATGTTCCTTTTTCATCTTTGAACAATTTTGAAGTCGTAGAGATAGGAGTACGGGCATCTTTTGCAGATTCAAGCCCAAATTTGGATAGAAGATTTTTCGCATATTTTTCTTGTGAAATAAAAATCCCTTCTGTAGTTTGACTTACTTGTAGTCCAAGAAAATAGGTTAGTTCGCCTATCATGCTCATTTCAAACTCTTGTTGCATTACCTTGACTAGTTGGTCTGTCTCTCCTAGTTGTGTGGATCCAAAAACGATATCATCTACATACACTTGAGCAATTGTTATGTGTTTACCTGATCGTTTTATAAATAACGTTTTGTCTGATCCTCCTCTTTTGTAGTTGTTCTGAAGAAGATATTGAGTAAGTCTTTCATACCAGGCTCTTGGGGTCTGTTTTAAGCCATAGAGAGCTTTTTGTAATTTGTAGACATATTCTGGATGATGGGGATCTTCAAACCCTTTTGGCTGAGCAACGTATATGTCTTCTGAGAGATAGCCATTTAAGAAGGCTGTTTTAACGTCCATCTGAAACAACTTGAATTTTAGGGCACAGGCAATCGATAGGAGTAGTCGTATTGACTCTAGCCGTGCAACAGGGGCAAAAGTTTCGTCGTAGTCGATTCCTTCAATTTGGGAGTAGCCTTGGGCTACAAGTCGTGCTTTATTTCTAGCAATGTTGCCAGCTACATTGGTTTTGTTGCGAAAGATCCATTTGGTACCTACAACATTGACATTGTCAGGTTTGGGAATTAGAGACCATACCTTATTTCGTTCGAACTGCCCCAGTTCTTCTTGCATGGCCTTGATCCAGTGTTCGTCTGTTAGAGCTTCTTTGACATTCTTCGGTTCGATTTGTGAAGTATAACAAGAATATCCCGCTAATTGAAGGTAATCACGTTTCGGTTTACCTCTGGTTTTTACGCCGGAACTAGGATCTCCAATTATGTTTTGTATTGGATGAGCTTTCTGGATGCGAGTAGGGATATCAATGTTACCATGATCAGTGTCAGATTCAGACTCAGACTCAGTTTCTTGCTCTGGTTGAGTTGACATGGGAGATGGCATAGGAGACTCTGGATTAGGTTCTGGACAACTTGTGTCAGGTTCTGTCATTGGTCCAGGCTGAGACGTTGTGATAATATCACTTGGTTGATCATCGATTACAACATTTGTGGACTCCATAATGGTTTTGGTAACTTTGTTGTATACACAATATGCCCTGCTGTTCGTTGAATAGCCGAGGAAGATGCCTTCATCGCTTTTTGTTTCAAACTTTGCGACAGGTTTTCGATCCTTCAAGATAAAACAGCGTGATCCGAAAATGTGAAAATATTTAATGTTTGGTTTCTTACCTTTCCATAATGTATACGGAGTCTGATTCGTGCCTGGACGTAGATAAACCCGATTGATGATGTGACATGCAGTGTTCACAGCTTCTGCCCAAAATTTTTGAGGTAGTCCTTTGGCATTGAGCATAACTCGTCCCATTTCTTGAATTGTGTGGTTCTTCCGTTCAACAACTCCGTTTTGTTGAGGTGTTTTCGGAGCTGAGTATTCATGTGTGATTCCTGTTTGGTTGCAGAAGGTATCGAACAGATTGTTGTCGAATTCTCGTCCGTGATCACTTCGGATTCGAATGATGGGCTCATTTCTTTCTTTTTGGAGTTTTAATGCCAAAGTTTTGAAAGCTTCAAGGGTCTCAGACTTGTCCCTGAGAAAGGTAACCCAAGAAAAACGAGAATAATCATCTACACAAACGAGTATGTATTTCTTACCTCTAACACTTTCTGTTTGAGTTGGACCAATGAGATCCATGTGGATCAGTTCCAAGCAGTGACTTGTGTTTATAGTGTGCGGCGCTGGATGAGAGGATTTGGTTTGCTTTCCTGCTTGACATGCACCACATATGGTTGGTTTGACTTTCAGCTTGGGTAATCCACGAACACCTTCGATTTTCACAAGTTTGTCAAGAAGTCTGTAACTTAGATGTCCTAGCTTTTGGTGCCAAAGCTCAGTTTCATCTACATTGATCCTGCAACACAAAACATTGTTAGTAAGAATATAGCAATTGTCAGTTGACCTTGTACCTTCCATAACACATTGATTTGCTTTGTCTAGGACATTGCAACTATTTTTGTTGAAGCTCACGTTCCAGTTCTGGTCACATAGTTGACTTATACTTATAAGATTTGCATGAAGTCCTTTGACTAGTAGAACTTTCTCCAGTTTTGGCAGACCAACTACGTTTAGCGTGCCTATACCAGTGACTTGTCCTTTTATACCGTCGCCAAAGGTAACTTCACCTTTGCTTGTGTTTACGTTACTCAGAAATTTAGCATTTCCCGTCATGTGACGTGAACACCCACTATCGAAGTACCATTTTTCTTCTCGGCCTGTACTCTTAGAGTGGAAAGATACGAATGAGATATAATCTGTCTTTTTCACCCAGATTTGTCTTGTAAAGGGTTGAATGTTCTTGTGTTTGAATTTCTCGATTCTTTGATCCTTGTAGAAGTAGTAGCATTCCGGTCTGGTGTGACCCCATAACCTGCAATAATGACATACTGGGTTATAGGATTTATAGTACGGCTTGAGTGATCTTACTGTACCAACGCGATGTGTCGTTGTGCTAGATTCTGGAATATCTCCTCGACCAGGACCTGACGCTTTGACAAACACTGTTTTATCCTTTGAGCTGTTTCCTGTGAATCCTAGACCAAATTTTGTAGATGTCTTTCTTCCAGACTTAAGGATCTCATCAAGAGTAGACGTGGTATCCATCATTTGGATTTGGCGTTTGTAGGTGTTCAGCTCCTGCTTCAAAGTCTGTACCTCTTGTTTTAGTCTTTCTTCTCGGGCCAATGCCTCTTTGAGAAGAAGATCCCTGTCAGCTATTTGAGTTTGATACACTTTCTTTGTGTTTGTTACAATCCCTATTTCACTAGTTAATCTACGATTTTCTTTTCTTAGTGCTGCCCATTTGGGATACAATTTATTAAACTCAATTTCAAAAGATGATTCACTTGACTCTAAATCTTCTGCAGAATTATACTCGCCTCCTTCTGAGTCAGCAACATCTTCATGACACGGTTTAGCAGCCATATGTGCAGTAAAGGCAACAAAATTCCCAGAAATTTCGTCTAAGTCAGATCCTCCTGTTTCACCGTCCGAGTCATTATCACTCCAAGTAACTGCTGACATGGATTTCTTGCGTCGAAGATAGGTGGGGCACTCTGCTTGTACATGTCCGAAGCCCTCATATTCATAGCATCTGATCCCTTTACTGGTGGATTTCTCTTTGGACTGTCCTGGACGTGAACCAGAAGACTTGAAGGTTGATGAACCGGATTTAGAACTCGCTTTAGATGATGACGCCCCCTTTTGCATATTTTTGTTTCGTGAACCTTTTGACACCTGTTTCAAAAGTTTAGAAAACTGTTTAGTAAGAAATACAACTGGATCATCACCTATTTCATCTAAGTCAGGTGCACAATTATTTTCTTCAGCGGTAAATGCTACTGTTTTTTTTTTTGTGATCTGTTAAGATTTCCATCTCATAAGTTCTTAGATTCCCCATTAGTTGTGTTACAGTTTTTTTCTCCCAGTTGTCATGTTCCTGGATTGCTGTAACTTTCATCCGGAACCGAGGTGGCAGTGATCGTAGAATTTTTTTCACCAACTTTTCTTGAGCGAACGATTCTCCGAGGACCATAGCTCGATTTGCTAGCTCTTGCACACGAGTGTGGAAGGTCACGATGGTTTCATCTTCATTCATTTGGAGCTCCTCGAAGTCTGACTGTACCAGTTGCAGTTTCGATTGTTTTACCGACGATGTGCCTTCATAGGTAGCCTCTAGTGCTTCCCATGCGCCTTTAGCTGAATCATGGCCTGCAACAATAGGGAATTGACTTTCATGAATTAGCCCATAAATAATATCTAGTGCCTTATCGTTGTGTCCAGCACTTGTTTTCTCAGTTTGGGTCCATTCATTTTCAGGTTTCGTCACTCGAGTTTCATCTTCACTGCTACTGGCTTTGGTTGGATGTTCCCAGCCTGTTACAATTATACACCATACTGCTTCACCTTGTGCTTTGAGATGAGTGCATGTGCGCACCTTCCAATACGCATAGTTGTCACCGACTAGCTGGGGAAGAGCTTTAGTGTGCTCCATTCTGTAACACTCAATAACCCGTGAGATCGAACAATTTAACAGAATTAGAAATAATAATACTAACCGCTGAAGGATTGAGATCAAGGGGCACGGAGTAGCCCGATCGTCAGACTAATAACTTAAGTCTGGAGGCTCTGATACCAAATGAAAAGCCCGTGTATCTTGAAATCAATTTAACACTAAGAATTCTACTTGATTTTATATTACGAGACAATTTCGCTGTTTAATTAAATCAATTTAATCAACATATAAATAACGAAATTGAAAGTGTAAATAAAGTAAAGACACAGTAGAATTGTTACGCAGTTCGGAGCTCCTTCTCCTACGTCTGCGGGGCAACCCACGTCTGCCCAATCCACTAGATGTTCACCACAGAGTATTACAAGAGGTAACTACAAACGGCTCACAGCCTTTACCACTACAACTCTTTTAAAACACCTACTCAGGACTGAACCGTGCATGCCATAACCATCTTTGGTGTAGCACTTCAGCTGTCACAGGTACTGATTTGTAGTACAGGTTTAAATCACAATTAATATAATCAATATTAAAGCAGTAATGTAGGAAGCTTGCAGATGAGATCAGAATTTCAGAATTGGCCACTTCATCTTTCGTTTTCCCTTCCTTATATACTGTACGCAACTCCCATTTCACCAAGCCTTGATTGTAGCTTCATATGTGGCTTGAATTCTTCTCAACCACTCATTCATTAAATGAGATCTTCAGACTTGCTTCTTTGTCCAATTCATTAACAATAAATCTCCACCACACATTTTAGCTTGGTCCAATAATACTAATTACAAATCAATTTTAATTAACATTACATATTAATAAAATAAACTAATAAATTAGCCAATCTAATGTGTACTATTTTGTACACTTACAATTACCAACTGACACTACAGTATATCTAAACCGACACTGCCTAACGTATTATTTTTATATTATCAAATAAAACTGCAGTTATATCAAAATGATACTGTAGTTGTGGTGAAATTAAACTACAGTGTATATAAAATGAAACTGAATAATATTTTACATATTTGAGTGTATATTGTACAATGAAGCTGTAATTATATCAAAATGATCATGTAGTTATGTTTTAATAAAACTATAGTGTATATAAAATAAAATTAAACAATACTTTCACATATTTGAGTCTATAAATATCGAATGAAACTGTAATTATATCGAAATGGAACTGTAGTTGTGTTGAACTGAAACTGCAGTGTATACAAAAAGAAACTGAATAACAGAGTTACTTTTTGCGAAAGGGTGCGGAGCGGTGGGAAACGGATGCCGTTTCTTTTCATTAAAAAAAACGACGTCGTTTTGATGTGCAGTGCAATATAATTTGTCGTGCGAATGTACTAATGACCAATGTTTATATTTAAATAAGTATTTCAAAGTATATCAAAGTTATAAGATTATATAGGAGAAGTTCATACATAGTTAATTAAATGTCGAATTTGTTTATTTAAATATATAATTCAAAGTATATAAATGCAAGATAATAATATAGGAGATTCATTATAATTGTCACTAAAATAAATGTTTGCAACTTTGTAAAATTGATAGTCTAAATACTTAGTCTATAAACGATATTCTACTTTTGGTTTGAATTTCTCCAAGTCTTCTGAATTCTCTTTTTGGTAGCATTGTCATTGTCTTCATCTTCACTATTTGTCCTTTTTTTTTTTTTTTTTTTTTTTTTTTTTTGGTAGTATGTCATTTGCAATTGGGTTACTGGTGGTAGCGGCATAGATGGCAGCGTTATGCAATGGAATTATGGTGTAGGAAACTATGGATTTGCCTTGTGTATATGATTGGGATCTTAGTTGTACTATATATGAACTCTTAATCTTGAAAGGGCATGTTAATATTTTGCAGTGGTAGTTTTTCCCTACATGTTTTATGTGGACGTATTGAATAAAATATTAATATTTACTATATTTGTATAAGGCTCATGAGTAGTATCTCTTCTTCTATTTTTTTAACTTGTTTACTTGATAGTAACAACAATAACTTTGCAGGTAGTCCGAATACTAATGCTGCAACGTGTCCAGTTTCATCAACAATTTCCACATCCATTTTGCACTTGTTCATTTTCAAGTTCATATTTTAAGAATTAGTATGAATGGATGTAGAACTTGATGATTTGTGTGTGTGTGTGTGTGCGTGTTTTTTTTTTTTTAATTTTTTTGTTTTATCGAATTGATACTAACCTTGGAGTTAAATTGTTTGTCAATTAATTTGTGCATAAACCTTTTTTAAACAATGGCTACTTCGTATATACAGTGTGTTTTTGTTGTCAAGGTTGATGCTGATTTTGCCTTTAATCTAAGCAGGTTGAGTCTAAAAGATGAAATGAATTATAAATTTATATTAGTTCTAATATATTTAATGAATGCACAATAAGTATTTTACATATACAGGATCAATGAATTCAACAATGGTAGCTATTTTAAAATTTCTTCATTTTCTAGATTTGCCAAACTGATTGCAGCATTGTTGTAGTCTCATAATCTTTTCAATGCATCAAGTGTGTTACGATGCTTTACTGCCCTACATTGACAATTTTAATAATGAGTTTTAAATGTAGCTACGTAAGATAATGATCTAATTAACATTTACATATTGATAGGGATTATACGAACGGACCGTATTAGGTCGCTCTAAATACCTGCTTGGTACCCAGACGGGTCGCCAAGAGGAAGTATTCCCGACCATTTACTGACTCGGCCGGACCTACCGTAGAGTGCCGATCAGGACTCAGCTGATAGCCCCGCCTTCCAAGTATCGGATCATTCCTGATATTCTTAGGTCGGGAACAAGGTGAACGACCTGGGCCCCTTTGCTTCGTGATTAAGAATGGGAACTCTATCAACATCACCCGAGGGCGGCAAAAGCAAGGAAACCAGGAATCCTAGGGCGCATGGTGAAATCCGCAAGGCCTCCGGTCTGTCCCGCTGCATGGAGAACATGCGTCACTCATGTCGAGTTTTCAGCACGTGTTCCCTTCAATTCCCTATAAATTGAGCATTAAATGCAGGGAAGATGGACTTTTGGCAATTTCTACCTAGCTTTAAGAAGCTTGGAAGCCTCGGACCTACTGTCACGTAACCCGAGCTTGAGGGCTTAAACCAACAAGCAGACCAGAACAAGATCTTCGTATGATCCGACCCCCGTACTTTACGGGCCGACCTATAGGAATCATCGTATTTACTACATCATACATTATTATCAGTATAAAAGCGTACTAGTCCTTTAGGTGTTATGCTCAAGTTCATTTGGTTCAACCACTATTGTTGAATGAGTTCTTGTGGATAGAGAAATTCCTAGTTTAAGGAAAAAGATTAGATAATGTAGTAAAAATTTAAACATTTTAAATCATCTTGATATTACGGGGTAGTTTCCCATTTCAATTTATTGAGTTATTTGAATACTCTCTTTGTCAGCAAATCCTCCCAAGTAGTTATTATGATTGATTTCAAATTATTTTATTTTAATTTTTTTTCATGGTATTAATAAATACGGAGTACTTGGTAAACAAATATATAACATTGTTTTGTATTATAACTTTGATATTTAATTACAAAATAGTGTAAAAAGAATACAAATGTAGTGAATATAATCATTTAATGAATTTGGACGTAAAGAATCTTTGCATTTGACAAAATAAAGACAATATAAGTAATGAAATTATTTTCTTATTTAATTTATTGGTAATGATTAATTTTTTTTATTAAAGGCATAGTAGACAGTTAATTCTAAATTAAAGAAATGCATATCTATTATTTTTGGTTGTAGCTAATAATTTATTTATTAATTTAATAGAGTAATAGAGTGAGGAACATACTTTTCATTAACAACAATGAAGTCATTGATTTTTTTATTTCCATTAATTCGTTGTTAAGACAAATTGTTTTAGGAGTTTGTCAATGATAATTACAACAATTACTGTCAATAGAGGATGGTGATAAATAATTTGAAATATATGGTTACAATATATATTGTTATAAAGATATAGTAAAAATTAACTTACAAATTTCTTTAAAGTTTTCATGCATTGATAAATTCAATTGGAGCTAGTAGGGTGTCATTATTGTCAATTGTTTGGACAATGGTCCTACCGTGTAAAGTCTAGACATAGTTGTATTTCTGATCGACAACTTTGTAGTTATGTCGCGCAGGTTTGACAATAGCATTGGAAATAGTATACCAGGAGTTGGTCTGTAGAGTGATATCATACATTCCAATGCCGTGATCAAACACTGTTGCTTGAACTCGAATTCCATACATTCAAATATATCATTTATGATTATACCATTCAAATAATAATAATAATAATAATAATAATAATAATAATAATAATAATAATAATAATAGTAATAATAATAATAGTAATAATAATAATAGTAATAATAATAATAGTAATAATAATAATAGTAATAATAATAATAGTAATAATAATAATAGTAATAATAATAATAGTAATAATAATAATAATAATAATAATAATAATAATAATAATAATAATAATAATAATAATAATAATAATAATAATAATAATAATAATAATAATAATAATATTTGCGGTGAAAGTTGCGGATAAAGGAGAAGAGAAAGTGGTTTTAATTGGAAATGGTAAATTATGCCATTTCTTTAAAATAATAAGGATAAAGATGGAAAAAAGCTAGGAGCTTTTGTTAAAAAAAGTTACTGGCTCTATTACATTGTAGTATACACAAAGAACCAATAACGCCTCCACTGAGGCTCAAACTCATAATCTTTCAAATAAAAGTTCAACCCAGATACATTAGACCACATAGTCCTAGTAGCTTAAAATAATCTATAAGCTCCTAAATAAGGCCAAACAGAGCCATAACCTAAAGAATGGAATATAAATAATGGAGCCTGAGATACTGGCTCAAAACAACAGCCAGAAATAATAGGTTAAAAGTTAAGATCACATACCACTAGACTAGACCAAGAGAGTGGTTGTGAACTAATGGATCATCCTTAAAGAGATGAAAGGGTGCCTATTTATAATGTATATGCCCCTCTAGATGCTTGACAAATGTACGATTACAGATTGCTTTAATTCTTGAGGACACACGTGTCCCCCACTACCTAGATGCCAACGATCTTGGAGCGTTATGCTGTGCATCCGTATACACCATGCATGGTGCATCCGGATGCAAAAACGACGTCGTTTTGACACTAACTTTAAAAAAAAAAAAAAAAAAAATCAGAATTGCATAACTACACATCCATAATTTCATAACTATAAATCCAAAATTGCATAACTACACATCCATAACTTCATAACTATAAATTCAAAATTGCATAACTACACATCCATAACTTCATAACTATACATCCAGAATTGCATAACTACACATCCATAACTTCATAACTATAAATCCAGAATTGCATAACTATACATCCAGAATTTCATAACTAAAAATCCAGAATGAATGAACTAAAAAATGAATAACATAATGTTGTTGCTGAGAATCAGAACTGATTTTTTTTTAAGTAGGACGCGCGTTTTGATGCAAAACGACGTCGTTTTTGCATCCGTATGCACCATGCGTGGTGCATAATGCACATCATAATTTGCCAACGATCTTTGCACGGGTAAGTAGAACATCATTCTACTTTCTTATACATGAAATCTTGAGTAACTTGGGTTGTTAAGAACTTGTGTTGTTATACTTGAGGTTGTGGGCTTGAATCCTCTAACGACACCTCTTTTGTTTATTTTGTTCTATGCTTCCTTCTTTTCTTGGCAATAAAAAATAAACTCCCATTGAACTAAGATCTATCTAGTAAAATGTGTCCCAGTAGGATCCCAAGGAATCGTAGCACGTTTTATCATGGGAAACCTAGGCTACAACGCTCCTAGCACTTGTGGGAGGTAGCAAATAAGGTTTTAAGGAAAAGAACCTTGTGTTCGAACTCGTGCTAAACGTATACCCAAACACTCAACCTTTTCCTTCCCAATTTTCTGTTTTCCCATATAATATTAATCTTTCCGTAGGATTATTATTATTTTGGGATTTTCCAACTTATTACCCAACACCACTCCCCTACAAAGTCTGCAAAAAATGAAAGAGACTGCATATAGCTCAAAGATAAGCCATCTGGTTTTTACTCTCAGCTTTTTGGATCAACAGAGACGACATCAATATGTCATGTCCCATTACAGGAAATAGCCAACAACTAGCTCGCAACTATAATGAGAAAAATGATTAACGCAATCTTTAACCCAATATTTATCTTGAAATCGGATAGATATGAAATGGGATGCTAACTCTTTACATACTTTACTAAACCAGTTGGCTCCATTGTTTGCTCAGATCACTTGTCAGTTGTCACAGGTGGCTTTTGGCTGGTAAATTCTTAACAAGATCAGATATGATTCTTAATCATGATAATTCAAAAAATTATCACTCTTATTAAATGTGTCTCTCTGTGTGTGTATAGGGACTACTACTTGTTCAGTTCTGCAAGGCTCATCTTCCAAAGCATGATGAGATGATCACTCTGGTAGATGAAAATGGCGATGAAAGTGATAAAAAATACATGGCTATGAAGATAGGGCTGAGTGGTGGATGGAGGGGTTTCGCTCTAGACCATGAACTGGTTGATGGTGATGCACTGGTTTTTCAGTTGATTGAACCAACCAGGTTAAAGGCAAGCAAATCTTAATCCCTCCTAATCTTTTTATTTCTTTCTATCTTGCTCTGGATTGATAGTTTGCGGGTTTTTACCTATAACTTTGACGATTTAGGCTTTCATGGTTAACTTCACTTTGAATCTCCAGGTTTACATCATTAGGGTAAATGAATCGGAAGAAAATGGTGCAGAGTAGTGTTGTGTAGCAGTAAGAACCAAATGTTAAGGGTTGAGTGCAATATGAATTTGAATATAAGTTAATAGTAAAATATAATATTTCAAGAGTATGAGTTAGAACAACATATTTTCATCCCTATAGTGTGTATACGGGAAAGGTTTTGGTGTCTCCTCCTATGGAGTGTTTGGTTGAATCGAATTGAAAATAAGTTTCTTGGAATTGAAATTTGAAGAAAAACTATTAATATGTTGTTTGGTTTATGGGAGAAATGTTTTCTAATGAAAGTTGAATTTCTCAAATATGATATTTTTGTGTGAATTCGGATATGAATCAGATCACTTATATTTGCCTTTAAAAAAGAATAAACAAAGAAAAATTACTATTCTATTCCTGTTTTAGATGGCAGAGACTGGGAGGAACTAAAGGAAAGACAGCAGAAGGTAATATTTCGCAACTCGAACGACCACGGATGGTAATTACAGAAATTAGGGACTATAGGTGGTGAAACCACCAAACTCAAGGGACCTTGGTTGATGTTTACTCTTATCCTTCAATATACAATAAGGCTACTTATACTATTATACTAACTAGCATTTTTACCCGTGCGATGCACGGAATGGATTTGTTATAATATATTAAGAATATTTGGATCGATATACAATTATTTAAATTATAACATAAAATATATAGTGTAATTGAAGATATGGTTTGGGTCATTTATGTTTGTTGATGTTATCATTGCTTGAATTCGAGCAAATAATTGCTCAATTAATAGCTAATGTCTAGATGTACGCATGCAGTGTTATAACTTTAGATATTTATATATCATTGTTTCTGATTTTTATAAATTGGGCAAATGTGCTTGTTCTCTAGCAACTTAGTTATAGTAATCAATTGCTATCCTAATTCATTTGTATAATAAGAGATATTTTTTGTCTAGATATATAGCAATTATATCATTTGGGAAAACAAATACATAATATATCATCGATTGTATTTACACATTATTGAAAAACTCTTTGTAAACAACATTGGTAGTCGTAACACAATCTTGTCCATCATTGTCTAGAGCTAACACCTTCAGGCCATCAGGATGGGTGACTCGGGAGAAAGCCATATACAATTGTCTGTGATTAAAGACTGATTTTTTTAGCAATAACCCAACGTGAGTTAGTGTTTGGCCTTGGCTTTTGTTGATAGGCATGGCATATGCAAGCATCAATAGGAATTGTTTACGTTGGAACTTGAAGAATCTCGTATTAGAAGGAGTGAGAAACATTTGGGGAATACGAACTTTGGTTCCTTGATGTGTCCCATTAACTATTCTTGCTTCGACAATGTGATCTGTCAATCTTGTGATTATGAGCCGCGTCCCGTTACAAAGACCAAGAGAGTAGTCTATGTTCCGCAATAACATAACAGGTGCACCGACCTTTAATTTCAATGAATGATTAGGAACACCCTAAAATCTCAAACTATTTAAGAATTCAGTAGTGTGTACTTCTGATAGATTTTCACCGTATGATTCTGCCTTACACAAAGAGTCATAACTTGAATATGTTCGAACTTCTGTAGTATTCATGTCGCACATGTACTGATTAATTTGATCAATAACATCTAAAGTCGGTGAGAGGATCGCTCGGCTTTCTAGGTGCAACTCATCAAGCATGCCATATCTCGCGCTTGGAAAGGTGCTTCCACTATAGTTGTTATGGGATCGGGTCCACATTTCAACAGAAACCGTGTTGGAATATCGATCTCAGACAAATTGTGTTGTAATCCCATCTCTGATGTCTGCAATCCATTTTGAAAACCAATCAACCGTCTGTCTATCTTTCTCTAAAGCTAAGCTCCGTAGTCTCAAGTTTTTCATGAGCCTCAATACCTTGCAATTTGTCTAGAGGTGTAAAGAATTAATAGTTGTTCTGCCAATTACTGGTCTCGTTGCTTTCGGAATAACTGTAAGAATCTATCTAAAATCACCACCCAAAACTACAGTCTTTCCACCAAATGTCTTTTCAGCACTACCAGATATGGCAAACCTCAATAGATCCCTCATGGTTTTGTCCAAAGACTCAAAACAGTGTTTGTGCGTCATTGGTGCTTCGTCCCATATGATCAATTTGCTCCTTATTATAAGCTCAGTAAGGTCACTGCCTTGTGATATATTGCACGTGCAATCTTCATTCAATGAGAGTGGTATAACAAATCTGGAATGCGTCGTCCTGCCTCCCAGCAAGAGCAAAGATGCTATTCCACTTGAAACAACGTTGATAACAGTATCTCTGCGGCTCCTTATCTTTGAGGATAACATTCTCCACACAAACGTCTTGCCTGTTCTTCCGTAACCATACACAAAGAACAATCCACCTCCATTAGAATCAATAGCATTCATCACAAAGTCATAAACATTCATTTGCTCGTCCGTCAAATGTGTTACCAACGTTTCGTGCTCTCTCTTCAACGATTCCTTGTCATACGCCAACTCTTCGGCTATCAACATGTTTTCGATCAAACCCATGATGCTTTCGTCTGGAATTGGCATTTCTGGAAAGTCCCTAGAGCTTTTCCCCCACAAAGATAGAAAATTCTCCAACTCCACCAGAGCGAACTATTTCTTATATGAATCCGATAACACCAACTCTTCATAGTCCAAAAAAAAAAAAGAAACAAAATAAAAATAAACAAATGTGTTTATTTATAAATAATGATAAGCAAATAACAAAGTCGAATAAATAGATTAGAGCCCAATAATATATATTAGTTAATGTACACTAATCTATACTAATATGAATAGTAAATAATTGGTAAAAAAAAAAGTAATAAAGATTAATTTTTAACAAAATTTTATATGAAAATTAACTAAGAGGGGTGTATTCAATCATGACTTTCATAGAGTTTTAAAGACTTTTATGAGCTTTAAAAGTTTGGAGGTATTCAATTCAAACTTTTAGAAAGTCTTTACAAGTCAGGTAGTATTCAATCAAGATTTTTAAAGAGTCTTTAAAAGTCGTGTATACTCGATTAAGACTTTTAAAGATTCTTTAAAAGTCATGTGATATTCAAAAAGTTATGAACTTTGGTAGACTTTTCGTTCTCAAATATGAATAGTTGAAATCCAACCATCAACCCCAAGATTTCAAAATTTTCTTTCTAAAAACTTTGAATGTTTTTTCTCTCTATTTAAACTCTATTTTTTCTTCCTATTTAAACTTTATAAACCTATCTAAATTTAACAAAATTATTTTTTCTTCATTATCCTATATTTTCCTCATACCCAAACTCTATCAATTTTTCTCTCTCCTAAACTTTACCGTCTTCCTCTAAAAATTCGAAATAATATTATTTTTATTTCATTATTGCTTGTTTATATTGATTTTTATTTTTTCTATGAATTTTTTATCCCTAACTCTCTCTAATTCTCCCTAAATACATGAACAAAGCAAATTTTTCATCGTTAAATTTTTAGTATATGTTTCATAATATATTAATATTCATATAAATACTTATATCTTTTGATTTTTATTCTTTTTATGTTTACTTTCGTAATATATATATTTTTCCTTTTTTTTTAACAACAGGTTACTACGAATAGCGAACTACTGTTCGAAACAACAACTTGGGGTTGCAAACAGTAGCACATTGTTGTTGTTCACAGTCTCAAATTGCTATTGCAAATAATAGTTTTTTGCGTGTAGCCTAACAATATATCAAGTATAGTTTTTTATATATGTTATTAATATTAGATTTTTTATTTTATTTTATGCAACTTGTAATTATATTTTTAAATATTTTATTTGATCAATTCTTTTATTATAAATTTTATTGTTCAATATTGTTATGAATTTCTAATGTAAATTTTTTTTGTTGATGATTATTAATAATATATATAAGTAATTAGCATATAAGTCTCAGCATACTATGGATAAAAATAATAATGTTGAGAATGTTGATGTGGGTGAAGAACTATATAATAAGAAGAATTTTATAATATATATTATAAATGTTTTGTAAGAAAATTATATAAATAATAAGAATCAAAATCATTGAAAGTTTGTAAGGATGTATTCAATTTAGAATTTCAATGACTTTTGTAAACTTTTTAAAATAAAAAGTCGATAAAAGTCTATGAAAGTTTTTTATATAGACTTTTATCGAGTCTTATAAAGTTTTAAAAAGTTTTGAACAACTCTATGAAAGTCAATCAAAGTTTATTAAAATCTATCATTTTAAAAGTCTTTAAAACACTACAAAAGTCATGATTGACTACACCCCCCTAATATCTAATGAATTGGAAAAAGAATTAGTTAATTAATGATATGAAAAAAGAATTTCGTTGGAATTTTAATGAATTGGAAAAAGAATTAGTTAATTAATGATATGAAAAATTCTAATATATGAGATTATTAGTTAATTTCCATATAAAATTGTAGTCAATATATACTATTAATTTTGTGATACGAATGAGATTCTAATATATTACTTACCGTACACTAATCTATATACTAATATGAATGGAGCAAATACCAATTTTAGTCCCACTAGTATTAGAAAAATGACGGTTTTGGTCGACATGTTTAATTCTTACCAATTTCATCCACGATTATTGTTTTAGTACCAATTTTCATCCACGACTATTATTTTAGTACCAAAGTTCATCATGTCGGTCACCCCTCCATTTAAGACATGCCGAAATCTAAAAATTTTAAAGGCATTTTCGTCCTTTTCAACTAATTAATATTCCAATTTGAGCATGAATAAAGGGATTTAAGCCCTAAAATCGATCTCAATTCGCAGTTCTCATCCTCATCCTACCTTAATTTGAGGAGGAGAACTGCGAATTTGGATATATATGATACAGAGTATTTTAAGAAAATTTCAATTTAATACTGTTGTATTGTATTATGAATACTAATATTTAATGTAGAATTGTAGTACGAATAGGAAAGTAGAAAACAATATATTCTATTAGGACTAGTTTATAATATTAGAATAGGAATTTGAATGGAGAATTGATACTTGAATTAGTCTATAATTATGCTTCGTTTGTACTAATTTCTAAGTGAACATCAGGTGTTTATGCGCACATAAAGCATATTTCAGGTGTTGATGGCTTGAGGAAGGGAAATGTAGATTGAGGCATACAAGAGCTTAAAATGAGGACAAATCAAGATGATATTAAGGCAAGGTGGACAGGTGGTGCACAAATGGAAGGCACGAGGATAACAACGACCAACGGAGCATCGGAGCGAAGGAGAAGACGCAACAAGTGACACTTCGGTTAGCTTTTGGATGGTCAGGTGTCACGCTATTGGTCACGCCGTGACCCGCAGCGTGACAATCTAACCATCTGAAAGTAGTTTGCACGTCACGGTGAGGGTCATGCCGTGACCTTCATCGTGACCTGCAGACTACTTTGCGGATCCTAGGCGTCACGATGGATGTCACGCCGTGACCTCCATCGTGACCATGCAATCTGAAGGTGGTTATTGCGCGGTTGCAATAGTGTAAAAGGGGGATAGGCGTTATTTTGGGGGTATCGAGTAATTTTCTAAGTCTTCTTTTTAGGTTTTCTCTCTACAAGTCCATTCTAGAACATCAATCCATTGTAATCCATTAACATTTTGGGAAGATTTAGAGGAAGTTTATCATTTGTAGTCACAATTCCTACTTCAATTTCATATTACATACTACAAGTTCTATCAAGTTAAGTTCTCAATTTCTTACTTTTACATTTCACATAATTTGTAGTTTGAATTCATTGCATATTACTTTATAAATTGCTTTTAGTTTATCAATTACATTATGAGTAGTTAAACTAGTTAGGGATTTAGATTGAACTGCTTTGTATGAATGCCAACATGAATTGAATTGCCAAATCTAGGTTTTTCTATGCCTCTAGAATGAATGTGATTGTGAATTTGGAGAATTGTATGGACCCTTGTTTGGTTAGGGCACTACTATGCAAAAGGTCGTTGGATTTGGTATTTCACCTATGAGAATAGGGATTCACCATAGCCAAACCTATCACATTTCTTACTTACTCTTGAGAAAAGGGAGTTGGAAGGAAATGAGCCCACAAGATGTTTGATTAATTGCCTCACCTAGTCTAATTGCTATGAGAATGAGATCAGAACCTTGGTGAGAGTGCAATGTCCACGAGAGTGGCATTAACATTGACTTAACTTCCTTGCATTCATTGTTGAACATCGTTTAGCCTAGAATCTTAGAACGCTAAGAAACATTCGTACATTGCTATTTGATCTAAGTCCTCTCTTTTATCCTTGACTATTACTTAGAAATTTATTTGTTTTATGATTGTCTTTATGCAAACAAACATTTCAATTTGGTTAGCTTTCAAACACTTAATGATATTGTGTTTAACCACTCTCTACTCAATTCCCTTATAGTCATTCCCAGAGGACGACACTCACTAAAAGATCACCGCTAAAATCAACTTTCAAGAATTATAGTACAAATAGGAAAACAGAAAATAATATATATATATATATATATATATATATATATATATATATATATATATATTCTATTAGGACTATTTTACAATATTTTTTTTGGTGAAGACTATTTTACAATATTAGAATAGGAATTTGAATGTAGAATTATAGTACCAATAGGAAAATATGAAACAATATATTCTATTAGGAATTGTATTATACTATTTTACAATATTAGGCAAATATTAATAGTATAGGACTGTTTTGGACAAAAAGTTAAAAGTGAGGATTTTGTTTAATTTTTATGTATAGTATAGATAGATGCTTATAATTATTATTAATATACCAAAATTATTCTAACAATATAAGGTAATGATTAACTGGTAATAAATTCCTCGCCCTAGTTGAAATTTAATATACTTATACCATGGCGTACCTGTGCTTTCATCTTGTTTCCCATGAACAATACTTGTACGGGGTTCTTTTATGAGCTGGATCGAATAAAATCCCTGAAAAATGTGAGACCCATGAGTAAAAGCACAAGACTCTAACCATCATGTGATACTTCTATAAGATTTTATTCAAAGCACAAAAAAAAAAAAAAAAAAAAAAAAAAAAAAAAAAAAAACATAATTTATACCTTTGTTTTCAAACAATATTTCTTTACATTTCTTTTCTTACAAAAGAAACACCTAACAGCCTTTTGAATATGACCTGCTTGAATCTTCATTGGGGCCTTGTTCTTCTTCATTCCTCTTACCTAGTTTGAACGTAGCTTGTTACTATTAGAACCATCATGGAATACGAAATGAACAGAATTATCCTTCATTTCCTTCAGTATCCCTTCCTCCTGATGTAATAGCTAGATGTTTAAGTTCTAAAAAATCTCCACTTTTTCTTAAGGTTGTTATAGTTCACCTAGAGATGAGCAAACTTTGCTGGTGGAAGAAAAATAATGAAAAAGTGTACTAACCAATAATCAATCACTGATTCACTTCCATTCCCAACTTTTGTTAACTTTTGTGAAAGATTGGCTTGGAGTACTTAATGTTTTCCATAGTAATCCAAGATCTTGGTCTAATACGCCTCCATATGAAATTTGATTTGTTCAAAATAGTCTACTTAGTTCAACCCATGCATTAAACTTAACCATAACATTTCCAGACGCAAAAAGGTTAATCAAAGCTGCAAAAGTTCATACATACTTATCATTAATGTCGTGAGTTAACAATAACAGATTCAGAATTTTAGTAAATATTAAACTTTCAATATACAATGAAGTTCAACTTTAGATAATACTTAAACACACATAATGCCAAAATAAACACAATTCATTGGACAATCACAAAATACTTCAGTTAAATAAGTATGGTATCTTTGAATATACATATATCACTCTACCTAGATCCATTCATATGTCCCTTTAAATGTTAGACTATATGCAATGGCTCACCTTGGGTAGCAATATAATGTATAACTTCAATCATTCAAATATAATTCATTAAAGACATTCCTTAAATATGAATATTAAATTAAAATGTCTTAATCTTACAACTCACAAGAAACTCACTAATCAAACTTTAATGCTGCAAAATGTTACGTCAAGGAAAAATTTATGCTACATGTGCAATTAGCAATGAAAGATATACTTTTGCAAATGAGTCACACTTTTGTGAGATCGTCTCACAAATCTTAATCTGTGAGGCGAGTCGAATTTAAGATAGTTCTTTGTTACTTATCAAAGATATTATAATATTTATTACAGAAAATTTAATATATTTTTAAAATAAATAAATTGTTACTTATAATAAATAAATAAATATTGTAATATTAATATATGAAATTGTGATTCTATTTAGGATAAAAATGATTGTTACTAATGATAAATATTGTACTTATAACTAAAATTGTGATACTTACAAAGTGTAATTCTAATTTAAATATTATAATATTTATATGTGAAATGTTACTTAAGATAGAAATTATAATACTTATTTAGAAAATTGGTAGCAGATAGTTGATTACATGCAAAATGACTTTCTCAAAAAGCTAATTCAAAAAGCTGCTTTGAATAGCTTTTTGAATTTTAGCGTTTTAGAGCAATAACATGTTATAAAAAGATAATTAATTAAACACTCATATTGACTGTTTAACCAAGTCAAATAGTAGTTAATATTGGCCCCAAAATTGACTAATAATCTAACTATGTTACCAAACAGGGTCATCTAGTAGAGTTAAAAAAAAAAAAAAAAAAAAAAAAAATTGCAATCCAATAGAAAGGGATGATCGATTATTGGTCATCTAATCATCCAGTTGTTATACCATGAACCAGGGTCCACCTTGCAATATAGACCCAGTTCTAAAATACACAATTTACATACTGAATGTACACAATTTACATATTAAAGGTTCACAATTTACCTTTTACAAATTATAAAATTTAGTATGCAAATTGTATATTTTGAATCGAGTCCATCTTACAAGTTGTACCTGGATCCACAGAATAATTTGCCCCAATCATCACACTAGTCCACCTCATAGTGGATGTACTTAAATATAAAGACTTGTTTGTTGGTCATCTCTATCCTTAATATGTTGGTAGCTTGTAATAAATCAATTTCTAACCCAGCCATTTTATATCCTCTTTTCCAACAAAGTGTGACCAGCCCATGGAGAATTGCCCATCATAAGGCTAAAAGCAATACCTCCATTATAATTAAAACCCAAAATCCACTCCCATGAATTGGGCAAATTATGTTGTGGAATCGTCTGGACACGATTTCAAAATTGTTGTAATTGTGAATATAGGATTCAAAAATTATGAATATAGAATTTTATAGTTATGAACATAGAATTCTGTAATTGTGAATATATAGTTTAATAATTGTGAATATGAAGTTCAAAAATTATGAACATAGAGTTTTATAATTATAAACATAGAGTTCAGTAATTATGAACATAGGGTTCTGTAATTGTGAATATAGAGTTCAATAATTGTGAATATGAAGTTAAAAAATTATGAATATAGAGTTTTATAATTATGAATATAGAGTTCAGTAATTATGAACATAGCAGAGTTCTGTAATTGTGAATATAGAGTTCAATAATTGTGAATATGAAGTTAAAAAATTATGAACATAAAATCTTATAATTATGAATTGACCGTGAGCCACAACGAGCCTTTCCTGAAAATAGGTATCTGTTGTAATTCACAACAGGCGCCTAAAGTCGTTTGCTAATCAGAAAAGTTTTGACTTTTCTAAATATTTAAAATATTTCAATGTTTGGTGCAATTCTTGCCTTACGAAAGTTTGGGTCAGTAGTAATTACATTCTATAATATTAAGAAAAGTAGATCCTGGGGGTAATCTCAACGTAACTAAGATGGCTAAGGATACGAACTTGTAACCACAAGGTCACGAGTTTAAATTCTACCCATCTTGGTTTGAGCCAGTCATCTATGGTTGGTTTGCCTCCTTGTAGTCCTTAACCGACTAGGGTCACAAAAGCAGGTTTTACCTAGTGCATACCCACTGCTGCTGGAAATCTTGCGCCCTAAACCAATTAAACTGGTTGAAACTAGAAAAATAACAAAAGAAAAATATGAAAAGATAAAAATGTCCTTACTAAAAATAGGAAAAGTCATGAAAAAGACTAAAAGTATCCAAAAAATAATAGTCTGAATATTAAATGACAAAAAACGATAGTAAACTAAATTTGGAATTGCCACAAAAAAATAAGAGACCTCTAGTGAAATTAACTCTATATATTATATGGGTAATACTTGCGCGAGACCGCCTCACGGATCTCAATCTGTGAGATGAATTAGATCTTTGATTAATGAGTCAAACCATTAAACTAATTAACCAAAGATCCGACCTGTCTCACAGAAGCTTTTGGCTTTGATTATATATATGTTCAACAGGTTGTATTTGGCTTTATGCTCCCATTTAAGTAATGCTTGAATAAAAAAAGAAAAAAACATAAGTAAAGTCAAATGTGAATGGTCAATTGTGTAGTCGTGATTTTAAATTATTATTTCAAGTGCATTTTGGATAATTAAATTATAAATATTGTTGAGTTTATTAAATGAAACAATTGTTATTAAATATTCTAATTTAGTAAGAAGGAATGTTTTTAATGGATAAAAGGAATATTTTAAAATTTATATGGTATGTCCCTAAAATAAAAAGTGAAGGATCATTTAATAAAGTATACACAAATTAAGAAAAGAGTTCCATCCCAACATGATCGAGCATCTCCAAAGTGCACTGCAATGGGAGAAGACAGTATCTTTCGTGGGAATCTTTCACTCCTTCAAATTAGAATTATTTAGAGCAAGTCTATTAGTGGTTTTTACATGGTTTTTGCATAGCTTTAGTCTGAGTTAGAGGAGAGAGGTGAGAGGAGAGAGAATGAAAATGAATTACTGTAAATTAAAGTTTTTTATGGGACCCATCGCTTGAAAAAAAATTAAAAATATTTAGTGTACGCACGCATTGGGCGCACCATTAATAGGAATATAAGCCGAAACATCTCCCAATTGCGTTTCAACTATAGGTAAGGCGGTCATACTCCCCTCCCCTAATTTATAATTTGATTTAGCAGCTCTTTCCAAAAGGCATGCAAATAAAAAACATCTCCTGGATAAGCTTCGCGACCGGGCCGTCTGCGTAATAGAAGAGACATTTCGCGATAAGCTTGAGCTTGTTTGGAGAGATCATCATAAATGACTAAATTGTATCTTTCACGATACATAAAATATTCAGCCAGAGCTGTTCCTGTGCGAGGTATTGTAATGTAGCAGGGAAATCTACCGAAAGAGATACGGTAGGACCGTTCCAATTAAAATAGGTTTTGTACAATAACTTAATTTGACCCCTTTTTCAAAATTCAACTCTTGATCTGCTCTTAATAAAAAAAACCATCCTTTTTGCTCCCACTCATTTTTATAAGGGGATTGATTTGAGGTTACATCAAAAGTTTGCATTCAGCCATGTCTAATGAAACAATGAACTATACTTTGATTGTCCTATTGCTAGCTAGTATATATGAATGTATATTTCTGTCAAGACATGTTCTAACAAGTAAAGCCTAACCTAACCTGGACCTGATCATATCCCAGCATTACCAGAAAACGATGGCCCGGGACATCATTTTCGCCTGTTCTTTAAAAAGAGCTGTGATCTGAGGTATCTATACTCACGGGGCACTTGTGTTCTTATCGAAGATACCTTTCTCGCGACCGCCTGCCAAATCATGTCGACGGCATCATTAGGCTGGGATGGGTATTGGTACTCGAAGTGCTCGGTGACCTCCTTTAGCCTTTCCCACATCTCGGTCCACTTCTCTTCGTTAATGCCTCTGAGGAGATTCAGGAGATGGCCTTTCCTCGTGCTCTCGGAAGCTCTAACGAAAACGCAGAAGCTCGTGTAGTCTAGGACGTCTTCGTATGGAAGCTCGATAGCATCGCTGATTATCACGGGGACACAGTGGCTAGCAATGGCGTCGAAGAGGCGATTCGAGGACGGGGTGTCCCCGGCTATATTCAAACAGAACTTCGATGAGGCCATTCCCCGTGCTGCTGAGCTCACGCCGGTTGATCGTACGCTCCCAAAGGCGAAATGCACGCCTTTTTCGCCTTTGAGAAGGTTGTACAACTTCTCCCGAATAGCTCCTCCCTGGCAATAAGCAAATGGTAATACATTTCTTGCATATATATCAAGTCATTTTCTCGATCTAATTTCGGGGGAAGCCTAAATAGGAACAATAAGCAAATGGTAACACATTTCTCGCATATATATCAAGTCATTTTCTCGGTCTAATTTCAGGGAAGCCTAAATAGGAACAATAAGCAAATGGTAACACATTTCTAGCATATATCAAGTCATTTTCTCGATCTAATTTCGGGGGAAGCCTAAATAGGAACAATAAGCAAATGGTAACACATTTCTCGCATATATATCAAGTCATTTTCTCGATCTAGTTTTCGGAGGAAGCCTAAATAGGAACTTTAGTGTCATATTTCACTAGATAAGGTAAAAGAATAGTGATGTAAGGTAAAAGAAGATAAGAAACTTACGGCTTTCCTATGTATTGCACCTTGGAAATAGACCAAAATAGGGCGTTGAGCAAACCCGGGGGAGCTAAAGCCATCGATCGTCTTTACTATGTGCTTGTAAGGAGTGATCACATCCTTTGCAACGTTCGCTACATGAACCGGATACCTTCCAAAATCCGCGAGCACAAACCTAGCAGACCGGAGCTTCTTCCTCGCGGTCAACATACTATTCGGGTGGTGAGCGAGGACCAAATGGTCCCTCCCGCCAAACCTCTTCCACTCGTCTCTGCTCTGCAAAAACCGAACCACTTTGTCCTGCAGCATCCGGTTGATGCTGAATTTTTCCCTACGATGAACCCTCGAGTTGCGGTTGTAGCTCAGAGACGAGAAAAACGGGACGAACACCACGTTCGCTTCGCTCGAGTTCCACACTCTCACAGCGGTGCAAGGCCTAGCAATGCTCGGGACATTCGACGATAACAGATCAAGAGTCAGCCAATACTCGACACTATGCTGCAAATTTAAGCCCCCGGGGTACCGTGGCACCTCGCTCGGGTTACTAACATCGGGCCACCACGAATCGTTCCCACTTCCATTCCACGGTTTCCACCCCAATTGCCCGAAATGAAACTCGGGAGGCAAGTCATACATATACACTCTAAGACGAGCATTATTCACATCACACCTTCTATCCCGCCCCCTAATCCCCGAGCTGTTCATAGAACTCGAATCTTCACTAACCACAACTAAGCTCTTAACCTCTTGTCTAGGCATGGTTTCAGAGGGAAGCAAAAACGTTTCGACTTCTGCACTTATAGCACTGGATTTCCAGTAACCCGACGTACTATTAACAAGAACTATATTCACAACTGGTCTGGGAAGGAAAAAATCGGAACTAAAATGGAGGGACAATGTAGAGATGACCATTAGACACATTGATAAGACTATTAGACAAGAAAGAAACCTCAAAGTTAACATTTTTTCAGACTTTGCAGACATTTCTAATACACCAAACAATATTTAGAACACAGAGGATTTTAATTCTATCCTGTGACCAAAAAAAAAAAAACAGATTGATTATAAAGATTTTCAATTTCTTTCCCATAAACTGTGAAAAGTTATACTTTTCTATAAATAGATTCAAAGAACAGATTTGAGGTAATTTTTCTTAACAGTAGCAGCAAAATTACCCACTTCAATAAACCCCTCAACCATGCAGTAGAAACTACTTTCACCCAGAAGGATTTGTAATGGGTAAAATTGGTTAGATTGCTATTTTTACTGCAATTTCAACTCTCAAAATCAGTAAAGTTTATATCTTTACCAAAACGTATGCTCTTTAACCCTAGTAAAAATCCCCAGTAATCAGCCTGCAAAATAAAACAGATAGGTAAACGATAACAATTACATACATATAATCTGTAGTATAAAACCTATATACAATCAAATAGAACACAGAAGTAGAGACCTATACAAATTATAAGTAAAAAGAGTCCTAATAAGCAATTTGATGATGATGATGATGATTACAAGACTATAGAAATTATATTAAAATTAAAATTACTATTAAACACAAAAAAAAATTATAAAAGTAAAGAAAAAAGAGTTGATCATGAATAAACAAAATAGATAAAATGGGCCCAGAGAGTAATAAAACAACAAGAATAAATAAAAGATAAGTAAAATGGGACCCAGAAAGTAATAAAATAACTATAACAAATAAACAAAACAGGTAAAATGGAACTAGAAATAAAAGAACAAGAACAACAAACACAAACTCATAAATATAGAATTAAGAGTGTTAGCTTATAAAACTAGAATTGTTTTTTAATTCATTAAAGAAAAAAAAAAGCAAAATTCTGTCATGATTGCTGGGACTTAAAGGAAACTAATCTGAGTATTTAAAGAAGCCAAAACTTAAATTTCAAGGAAAAAAAAAAAATCTGACCAAAATCAACAAATAATTAGCTCTAAAATCAAGGGAAAAGGAAAACATAACAAAAAAAAATATCAAAAAGAAATCTTTTTCATCTGAGTTTTCAAGAATGATGGTGGCCATGAAAGTTCCAAAACGTGTGAAGAAACAAAGCCAATTTCTTCTTTTCCTTGTTTTTCTTTTGGGTCCCCTTTAAAGGGTAAAATACAAACACAAAAATTTAAGAAAAAAGAAAATAAAAGAAAAGAAAAGAAAAGAAAAGAAAATACCTGATAGCTGGATTTAATGCATTCTCATAAGGGCTCTAAAAATTTGCAGACTGAAAGATTTAAGTTTCAGACGTGTCGGGTTTTATACAGAAAAGAATCGACGTAGAAATTCTCAAACCAACAGCCTAATTTCAGATACTACTGAGCTTTCTTGATTACAATTAGCCATTTTTTAAAAATATTTTTTTTTAATTAAATTTACTTTTATTTTGACTGGTTGAATTGATGTGACCTTAGCGATATTCATGTATCTTTTTTTTTTTTTTTTTTTCGAAAAAATATGTCATCTATTTTAAAAAATCATTTGACATTTAGTATGATATGGGTAGCGCAATTAACGAACCAAATACGAACAAACATAAGTTGTTCGTGTTTGTTTATTAGGATTTTTATTATTTAAGAGATTAATGTCAATTCAATTTCTTAAGTCAAATAATTGTTTACCAAAAACTTATTTAATTAATTAATCAACTAAAATTAAGAGCTCAATTGTTTACCAAATTAAACACTCCATAGTTAATCTCAAAAGTCAAAACTCATCCTCCCCTAATAACACATTTGATTCATAGAATATGTCAAAAATCAAATAACATTTTTGGAATTAGACTTATTCCACTATTTGGTGACTTTTTTCTTACGAATATTATTTTCAAAAATAAACTATTCCCCTTGTAAAGAAAATAACTATTTCAAAAAGGTGATTTGACATTAGGCTATTCTTAAATTCTCAAAAATAATTTATATTTTTGTAATACTTAATTTGTCATTAACTATTGTTATGTATTAATTAGATTAGAAATTATTATTATTATTATTATTACTAGTAATTCACCCGCGCGATGCACGAAAAAAATTATGTTATTATAAATATAAATAAAAAATAGAAAAACTAAAATATTTTAAATTATTTAATATAATAATATTTTTGATCTTCCATTGGTCAAGTATTTATTATTTTTATAGAATACAAAATTACAATTAAAATTAAAATTATAATTATAATTATAATTTTGTATGGTTAATATAATCTCTAATTATGTGCATATTCAAATAAACTTATAGAGATAATTTACATAATTATATTGATTTATTCTTAATTGTATTTCATCTATATTATAATTTTCACAATACAAATAATAACTAAGATACTTACATTTGGAAAGCAAATTTCGAATTTTGTATGTGTAAATTTAAACTCTAATTGAACACATTTTTTATATGATTATATAATATATAGCTATTTTATTTTTCAAAAGTATATTTTTATATGATTATTATATAATATATAGCTATTTTATTTTTTAAATGTTGTGCTTTTTTTTTTTTTTAATAATAAAGGATGTTGTGGCATTAATTGTAACATTAATTATTTCCCAAACCATATAGCTTTATTATATAAAGGATTATTATTATTATTATTATTATTATTGTTATTATTAATATTGTTATTATTGTTATTATTATTATTATTATTATTGTTATTGTTATTGTTATTGTTATTGTTATTGTTGTTGTTATTATTATTATTATTATTATTATTATTATTATTATTAATTATTATTATTATTATTAGTAGTAGTAGTAGTAGTAAACGTGGTTAAACCGTTTAAGTACTTATTTGACCCTCATCCTATATATAATAAAACTTGTAAAGAGATTGATCAAATAAAAATAGAAATTCTTATAATAACGGATGTGCACCATGCAAAACTTGTCAAGCTAGTGAATCCAATAATATGTGAAAGTGTACTTAAGAACGTGTACAACATATGATATATAAAAATACAATTAAAGAACAGATGCACTTACTAATGATTTTGTAGTTTAGTAGTACGAAGTGACTCTCCTAAATAAAATCTTGATTCATCTCAAATCATGTCATGAATTCGATCCTCGGCGGGTAGTATTCAGTCTTTGTAATTAGGTGCAAAAAATAATGCCGTAACACCAGTGGCAGACTAATTAAGTATTAAGGAATTGAAAAATCAATCTGGGGCATCGGATGGGATTACCTTTCAAGGATGTTGAGCCGTTTATTTTCATTTCGTTGACAAATACAAAATAATAATAATAATAAAAATAAATTAATAATTAATAATTAATTAATAAATAAAGAATGACAGAAAAAAAAAAAAAAAAAAAAAAAAACAAAGGAAAGAATTGAATACATTTGATTGGAATAGTCAACTGGGTTGATTCCGTAGGTTCAACTAACCACCAAACCAAACCAGCTTGGTTGGCATAAATGGCCGTACACTCTCGTTTTTTAAAAGATGTCTGGAGTTCCTGAAAAAATCAATCTAGCTATAGTACGGGACTAAATGTGTCTCCTACAGTTAAGGTCTGCTTAGGACACGTCATGATCTGACAAAAAAATAAATAAATAAATAACCACCAAACCAAAGTGGAGGAGGAAGTTAGATGTTTTGGGGTAAAAAATGAATGGAAATTATTAGTTAGCTCATGCAAATCAGATTCTACATGTCATGGGTTTTGCATTCGGATGATGTTATATGTGATAGAGTTAATTAATTAAAGGAATTTAAAATACTAAGCTACACAACTGAATTTTATTTTTTCTTCATATTCTATGAATTAAAAGTCAAGAAATTGTTTTTCCACCAACTAAATATGAAAATTCACAATTGCAATGAATTGTTAAAGGAAACAATTTCTATATAAACCAAACATATAGTAAAGGTATAAAGTATTTTGAAAATGTACATGTTTAGTGGTTTTAATTAGTAAAAGTAGATATTATTTTGCAAAGAATTTTTTTTTAAAGACAAATAAAATGAGAAAAGGAAAGTATAGGCTTATTGGTGAAAAACTCAACAAATTATGGCAAATTTTACTGTGGACCATGGTTCATGTAGCAGTGTAGACCATTTTATAAGCTATATTTTAGTTTCATTTTGCACATACACTAGTTTTATTATAGTAACACTAAAGAATTATTTTAATTACACTTCATGTATCTGCTATCCAGTTTAATTTTATACACACAATAAGTTCATTATACCAACATTAAAGTATCATTCTAATTCCAAAACACGTTCACTTGACAATATACACATCTGTATGACCTTCTAGTATTCAATTGAAGGAGTATAGTGTGAGATTGTTGTTCTAAAAGGATTAGCAATAGATGCAAGCTTATGTATTCTCAAGCACGAAGTATTATCAATTCCATGAAAATCTAGCTCTAGCAAAGATGGATTATGCAAGCAACAAATACAGATTAAGATGAATAACAAGAATGTAAAAAGCGGAGGAGAATAAGAAATTGGATTAGGTTAAGGCAATGTGACCAAATTGGGACCAAGAGTGAGAGTCAATTGACTTGATGCTGGATGTCATTTAATTGAGAGAAAGCATTTCTCAATGTCATTCCACATTCTTAAGACACACAAGGACATTCTCATGACTCGTGAGTGTCTAAGAAGCATTTTATTAATTACATTGGTCTTGACATCTCATACTCCTTTTTCCTCAAAGGTGAAGTAAGGCTAATCAACCCTTGAGCCTAGATTAGGTAATTACCTCCTAATCGAGACTCAATCATGTTGATAAATATCATCAAAACCAAGTCTCATAACTTTTAATCAACCAATTCAAAGTCACATCGTCATGAATTGAGTCTAATCTACATTCTTATTTTCTTCTTAAGATGACTACTCACACATGATCATAGTAAAAATAACAACAAATTCAAGACCAAAGAACTAATCCATAACAAATCACAAAGTAATAGATCAAAATGACAATGCACTAAGCAAAATTGCAATGAAATGAAATTGGAATTGACTTATCTATTAAGGGATGACACTAGTACAAAAAAGAGCAAATAAATATAACTTTAAGCTACCATTTTTCAAAGAAAGGTAATATATTGTTAAAAAACAGGTGGCATAATCGTAAATAAATTAGCAAGAAACCGCAACCCTTTTTAAACCAAAAAAAATGCGATTTTAAAAAAAACCGCATTGACTTTCCGCGACCCTCTCTCCAAAAAAGGGTAGCGAAAAGTTGATCTCATAATTTTTTTTTTAAAAAAGTTATATACTTTCTGCGACCTCTTTTGAAAAAGGGTCTCAAAAAGTAACCTTGATTTTCTAAAACAAATCTAGATCTTGATTTTTTCTTTTATTCTTCACTCAATATCCTCTCTTCTATCTCTCGCCCTTGACCACGGCGACCACGTCCACTGCCACCGCGTTGCCCACTAGACCGGCCACCACGCTAGGTCGCCATAGCGACCGGAGCAGCCACCTCACCACCGTCATCGGCATAAATAAAGGTCTGAGAGACTAGAAAATCCAAGAGCTCACTCAGCGATACCGGAGCAC